GCGATGCCTTCAAGGTCGATTACGTTTAGGTAGAGCCATCGTGCTAGGGCAGACGTTCCATTCAACAGTCCAAATGGTACTCCATGCCATTCCATCTGACCTAGTGGAGTCCAGAAAGCTGTCTTGTGCCTGTCATCAGGATGAATTTTCATCTGATTAAAGGAGTTCTTCAGGTCCATCACTACGAACAATTTTGAGTGTCCGAGTTGACGGATTATGGCAGCAGCGTCAGGAGCATTAAATGGGTCTGATTTCGTAACCGCATTCAATGATCGAAAGTCTACACATAGTCGACTCGAACCATCTTTCTTTGCAACTATGACTGGTTGTGAAAGCCAATTCGAAGTAGATCTTCGAATAGCCCCAGCCTCAAGTAGCTCACGTGTCAAACGCTTCAGTTCTTCTAATGTCTTCGGAGCGAAATGTCGATGAGGCTCAACTATGGGAGTAGCCTCACCAGTGTCGATACGGTAAACAAAGTTCTTTGAGCACGCGACTCTTGTCTTCTTCCATGCTTCGGAGTATTTCTCAAGAATGTCAACTATCCGTGACTTGGTGGCGTCGCTGAGAGTTTCACCCAGATTCTGTTTTAGGTCCGACAGAATGTTGACATCGACAATACTTTGTGTAGTGCTAAAGACATCTGCATATGTAACCATCTCGCCCGTAAACAACGGTAGTTGACCAATTTCATTTCGGACTTCGTCATTCTTGAAACAAATAGCAGCGCTCAACGTTCGCATCCACGGGTTACCAAGGATGTTCAGCCTAGCGTCCTTCACAATGCAGAACTCCATCTCAACATTTCCCAAAGGTGAAATCACAGGTAGATTAATGGTTCCAACCACTTCGCATGAGCCTTGTATAAAGTTCAGCATCATCTCACCATCTTCATTCGGCCGCCATAAGCATCGGTACTCCAACGGTAGTGTTTGTAGTTGTTGCCAACTGATGATGTTCTTGTCAGCACCAGGATCAACTAGACACGTCACCTGCGTGTCGGCTATAACAAAGCGTCCATACAGACCTCCGCTTTCTTGTTCAGACGCGACATTGACCGCACCTGCCATTGGTTCGTTCTTCTTCGCTGCGGCCTTAGCCTTCTGCTCTTTAACCCTATCACATGAGTCGTTGAAGTACTTGGCTAAACTCTCCAAGTCCATACTAATACCTTGTGGCGTGCGTGTGACCGTAATGTGTTGCGTAGCCAATTTCCTTGACGTGTCACTCTGTAGCAATTCTTCTCATCATGACCCTTCTTTCCACACACAGT